TTCCATGACAGAAGTAAAAAAAAAAAAGGGGAGAAAGAAAAACAAGGCAGCAGAAGAAAATAAATTATTTAACATTTACTTCAGTGGGTTCTCTGTGTGTTAATATCTCCCTAATGCTTTGCAGTGATTCTCAAATGCGAGTTGTGGCTTTGAAGGAAGAACAAAGACTTTGCAATATTAAAGAATGATGGTGGGACCTTGTCAGTGTTTAGTATGGTATGTACTGTAGGATTTCCTGGTGAAAGGACCGGATCTTGCTACCATACTGACTCTGAGAGACGAGACAGTCCAAATAACTTCAAAACAGTGCTGATTTATTCAAAGGATCACAAGTAAAATTACTATTACATGCTCAGGTATCTTGCACCTCCAAACTGCAGCAGGCAGATGTAAGATGAAAGACCCTGAACCCACCAGGCCTATACATTATATCCCCTCGGTTGGGCTAGCCCCATACTACACAGAAACGTCAACCGAGACATCTCTGTTACCAGCTTTGCAGCTGGTCATAGCAGTAGTCCAAACATGAAGCAAATCAATGTGTGAATGTGTGTGTCTGTTGATTAAGTGGTGTGTAGCTAAAAACATTCTCACGACCTCTAGTAACATGTCGTGACATTAAACATAAGAACATATTATGGCTAAGGCTACAGTTATACACGTCATAATAATAATATTAAACACCCTGTCTGCTGACAGTCATCAACTCTTCTCTCTAGTTATCCTTGACCAGATGTACCCTGTAGAAACTCATAAGCATGACTAAGCATTTAACAGTCTAACTAGACATCCTATCTCCACTAACATTTCTAATACATAATACATATCTATCCAATATCTATCTGACTAAAAATATCTAACACTGGGCAAATACAGTTGTTTTACAATATCAGTTTAACTTCTGGTGTTTGTACGGAGGCTTCTTAACGAAGAAGAGATGACACACTTAACCTAGCTCAATCTAAACTGTCCACTTTGAGACCAGTTTGGTGCCGTCTGGATCGGATCAGCCTCGCTGGTAAACACAGATGCTGTAGATATAATTTCGACATTTGCAGAAGTTAAAAGCTGCAGAGATGTTCAGTGCAGTTTCAGTCAAACTGAATATCAAAGGAATGTTTTGGAGTTAAATTACAGAAAACTTTCTGACTTAGATTCCCTGTTGTGGTAACTAGCATGTAGATTGATTTGGATTTATTTGCCCATACCTACCTACCATATTTTGAAATATAAGCCTCCGGTGAAGAATAAAAGACTTTATGCAACCTTTGTCAGATATGCAGCAGGAGATATGGCTCCAAAAGACCTGTAGACAAGCTGAATGATGTGTAAGGAATCCCACCTTAAATTAAGTGATTCTTTGCAAAAGGTTCATCTTAAATACAGATCATGAGTCCGGGCCTGAATCCAAAAGGTTCATCTTAAATACAGATCATGATGTTCATTATGTTATGTACTGGTGCTGCTTTAAATACAGTTTGTTGTTTGCTGCCAGGTTTCATTTTGTCTCTCCACAGTGGTTTGTTGGGGTGACTTAAGCCCTTTTCAGACACGCATTGGAACCCTGAAATTCTCTAGACATTACCTGAGGCAAGAGATTCCGTTGTTTATGACCATATTACAAACTGGCTACGTGACGGCATCATATCCCGCCTCCTACATGCTCTACCGGGTGCTGCCCTGTGTGTAACCCAAACAGAGTATTTCCAGTAGGTGAGAACACATCTGACACAGAATATCTCCTGCTGTGTGCTACGTGTGTGAAAGGGCAACTCTGGACAAAGTCCGGGCCTGAATCCGGAGACATAGTCCAGAGTTCATGTATGAAAACGACTGTAGTGACGACCTGCTCTCTCTGTGACTCAGCCTTAACCATCCTGACACACACCCTGAGATTCCAAATCTCACTGCTCCATAATATACTCTGAGTCTCTGCATGTGTGTGTGTGTGTGTGTGTGTGTGCTTGTTTATGTATTTATTTTTGATGTGTGGAATGTGCATCATGTGGAAACAGAATGTATGTGGAAACAGAATGTACTGTGTGCTTTATCTGTATCGTTTACACCATACCTACAGTAGCAAATCGTCTGTGTTAATTTAACTCAGTCTCCGCATGCTTCGTTCACAGCTACATTCACACCTATGAGAGTCAGTTTAACACTTCTGAGCCACCCTGCCTGCACCTCCTCAATCAACACTTCCAACTTAATGCATCTGTGACTGCAAAAATAAATGCACTACATGTTATTAGATCACAGTTATGCCTGTGCTAATGTGGACAGACGTGTATCTCTCTCTGTGTGCTGTGATCTAATTTTGCTTCCTCCATCCGTGACCCCTCAAGCTGCCTCTCTCCTTTTACACTGAGGCTGAGGTGGAATGATTACACCAATCTTACTACCTCTTGTGGCACAATAAAGGATGGTCAACACCGAGCTAGGTACCTTTTATACAGAATGACGTGGTGGAGAAGTGGGTAGCTTACCATACCAGTTAACTTTCACAAGTGAATGCAACAACCAGCAAAGTTTAAAACCACCTATCGGCACTCTCTGGATGGACGGGGAATTGAACACAGTTTCCCTTTCTTTTCCTTTGAAGTGACCGTAGCACAGTTTAGGCACTAAGGTGTCATCTCTGTTACTCATGTTGAGGCCTGAGGCACCATTTATCAACTACGTACAAAGTTGTCTGGACATCCTTTCTCAGACAGTTTGATGTCACGTCACACCTTTATTCTTGTCTGTTTAACGACTCTTACGTGAGTGTAGTGGACCTCAGTGACGCACAGCCGACATCGAGGTGTGAACAGCTCTGAGGAAAACGCCTGCAGCTCCCCATCAGTCAGGATCTTGTATGAAATGTCTTCAAGGATGAAACAGAAAATCCAGTTGACTTTGGAATTAGTACTTCTAGATATTCTAAGGTAGTGGTTCTCAGACCTTTTCTGTCATGGTGAAAGAATTGTGTCTTGAACAGGCAATGAAAAAGAGATTTGACAGGCCTTCACATTCATTCATCTCTTACTGCAACTGGCTGTGAATGTGCATATTGTTGTTGTCCCTTTCTGAGCACATGAATTTGTCTCCCTATCAAGCAGAATACTGATCAATAAGATGTCATGTATCATTGTTGTATTGACTAGATGACCCAAGTTAGGAGCTGTATTTAGCAAGTAAGCATCCGGCTGAAATAAATGTCTCGGCCCTTTGCTCTCTTGTCCTGTTTGGACAATGAATTGTGTTAAGTGGCAAAACAAACTTAACTGTGAATCTAATTTAAAGTCAGATTTGGTCACATCTTTCTGGCACAAGTCTCTTGGAAATCACAACATCTGGAACTTCACTACAGCTGCAGAGCAAACTCAAGCAAATGACTGAGATTTGTTCATTGAAATGCAACAAACAATGATTTGGCGCTCTCCTCCAAATAAAGGCCTCTGGGTTCTCTGTGTTAATCTGTTGAGCTGAGACCATTGATTGCTCCATGATGAACTGGAAACCACAGCTCATCTCCCAGTCACAGCTCGGCCAGTCATATTCAAGCACAGGCAGAGATTATAACATGTATGCTGAATTTGTTTGTGCTTAATACCCCCTGATTTATAAATTAAGTTTAAGAAAATGCAATCATCAGATCATTTTTTGATCCACCAAAGCCAAATCCTTTTCACAGCCACAGAATATTTATTCTTTCTCTGTGCTTTTTCTGCATCAGACTGTGACAGGTTTCGTTTGATGGCAGCTGTTCCAGCTACACAACTGCAACAATTATTTCCCCAATTGTTTCCTCATCACAGTCACAGCCCCTGCCGCTGCCAGGCTTTTCTTCCACATAATTTTTCCAATCATTTTTGTCTGACAGCTCCAATCACATTCCTCCTCACTGTGAATGAAAAGAGCACTTGCTGTTGCAGAATAATGAGCTAGATATAAACACAATATTGTAATCAACCAAGTAGTTACAATGTAAATCGATTCTAATAGGTTTTCATCTAGTGTTTGTTTTGGATTATGATGAGGTTTCTTGGTTTCTCCTCGCTGTGTTGTGCAAATAGGATTTCTAATCTAATTTATAAGCACTGCCAATTGTTGATGTACTTAATCATTGTTGATGCAATCACTTAAGGCTCCGTGCAATTCCATTACAAAAAGACCAGCACCTGGTCCATCTCTCTTTAGAGATTAGCAGTCATGCAGCAAGGATGGGTAATGAGTTGGAGAGGATTTACCAGTGGGAATATAATATGCATCCCAGAGCTGCTGTGTTTTTGCCTCCAAATCCTCTCAGGGCAGACTGGCCCCTGTTTTGGTGATCGCTGCAGGTTTTCCAGCATCTCTCTGATCAAGCCTGAGGGGAAGAAGTCACATGCTGGAGATTACAGTAACATGAGGGGGAGATTGGTTTTTGCTTTGGCTCATGTTGAATCAGCACTAATCAGGGAATATTTCAGAAAGCAGAGCACTCAAATGTAAACGTTGTCCTGGATGCCACTAAACTGCAGCATATAAAGCAATGATTCATGCTTTACTTTTTGCTCATGCTGTTTTTTTAGTTAGTTAATGATGGAATAAATATCCAGACCATTTACTTAAGTAAAAGTACCTGTAAATTGTAAGAATACTCTATTACAAGTAAAAGTCCTGCATTACATGCTACTTTAGCTTCTTGCACTACAACGTCAGCAGACAGAGCAGAGACCATGCATATGTGCAGCTGCCTCTTTATTACTTCAGACACTATAAAAAGTGACGGCTGTTCTCTGTCTCATTTTTGAAAACCGACGGGCCTCACATTTATTGTAAGGAGATAAACGTCACCCAGCTGCGTGGCTCGCTGTTGTGTTTTCAATAGACAACAACGGAGGCCACAGCACAGACCAATAAGCTAAACCAGGGTCCACCCCCACAGTTAGATTTAGGATTTGTTGATTTGTTAAAGCTTTAATGGGACCCTCTGATTGCTCTTCACAGAGTCGGACATGCCTGCAGGATCTTCTGGGGTCCCCTCTGGCGCTGTCCTTCGCCCACTACTTATGGGTGCATGGCTGATTGAACCATCTGTTCACTCAGGCAGGATGAGCCAGCAGGCAGCGTCTCTCCCGGGTCTTAAACTATATGTACGATGATCTGTACAAAATCTGACATAGACCGACCCTGATATCAAATTATCATTCGCTTTAAAGCTCAGATGCAGGGACAGGAAATTTTTATCCTTAACTTCGATGGTTGCAATTGTACCAGACTCACAAACGAATTAAACTTACAGTTCCCAAAAATGAATGTGGTTGCTGTAGTTAAGATGATCCACATTAGTTAGCGTTAATATGACAGCCGACCTTTACAATCTTGACTTTTAAAACGCAGCTTCATTGGGTAACGTCCCTGGGATGCCATCCACAGAGGGGATTCTGGAGCATGTCTGGTCCCAGAGGGCTGATAAAAGCCAGTGAACAGAAAGCTATTGTCAACTCACAGAACACTATAGAAGCTGGGGGCAGAGCTGTGTGATTTGTGTCCTCAGAGGACAGGAGAAAGCTGGATACGACTCCGTTGGCCTGTGGCAGCCATCTGCAGCGATTCTTCCTCATCTCAGCACACCTCATCTGTCCTTTTTTTCATCAAAGCATCCCGGCATCACCTCCGTCACCTCTCTGCCCTCTGACATGTCCCCAGCCTCGGCCGCTCACCCCAATTCCAATTGCTGCCATATGGTTTTTTCTGTGCTGCCCACTCAGTCCAGCATCATGGACAGACAATAAATGGCATTTAAATAATCATTACCCAGCATCAGACAGAAGTGTCACATCTGTGAGCTGATCAGTTAATAATATATATTTTACAAACCTGTTTTATCAGACAGTCTTAGAGTTTCTCTAATTTACTTACCCATTTGCTTATTATTATAATTTTTTTTTTTTTGCTGGAATCAATACAACTCTTATGACAGAGTATTAAGGTGGCATTAAGGGGGAAAAATGACAGGAGGACGAATTTGAATTTTTTAAAATTTTGCGTGTCAAGAATTAAGTCGAATTATCGAGAATGAAGTTTAAATGTGTACGTTTGACTTCTGAATTTTGATTATTCTCGACATTTTGACTTTAACTGGACATGCAAAAAAAATCTTTGTTTAATCTGGATGTGGTCCTGGCTAAGAAATATTCTGACACATAGCCCCACATATGACCACAACTTGTTGTTTTTTCTTTTCTGTTTGTGTTTGGATTTAACAAACAAGATATATCTTGTTAATCTGTGAGAATTAGCAGTGCTGGCAGGTGACTGTTGTTTCCTGTGGTCAGGGTTGGTCCAGTCATTTCCCACAGGTTTTATGCTAAGCTAAGCTAAGCTAACCAGCTGCTGGCTGTAGCTCCATATTTAACAGACAAGAGTTAGAGTGGTATCGCTCCTGTCATCCAACTCTCCACAAGCAATCAAATAAGCATAGTCCCCAAAAACGAAAAACATTTGGAATTTATTTTTATGATAACCCTATGCAACACTTATATTTGAAAGGTTATTTAGTTAATTGGCTTTAAAATGTGCATATGAGGATATATTATAGCATTTGTTTTGTTTGTGAAGTGTATGTGCTAAATGATCCACATTAGTCCCCCCATGTGTCTACGTATCTACTAAAACTATTATCTTTATTGGGACCACAAAATTATTACAAAGGCATTTTCATGAGTGATCAACTGAAGATACCAAACATATCTTTCATAATTTAAATTCCACATAAAAGCAACAAGTAATTCCTGTAATATTGTGAGAAAATTAATTATATTGTTTTGAGTCATTATTTTCATTTGCTTGTGCCAAAGCTGGTGAGAAAGCCGTGGGAGAAACAAGAGCTGAAATACACAGTTGTTTATTTGCATGATTAGTCATGAGACACAGTGACAGGGGCCTGAGGCCTAAAACTGCACATAAAAACCTGCTTTCTGCTCTTTGTCTCTCAAGCGCTCCAAGTTTCTAGACTGCGCATGTTTTTGCATCATACAGGGCAGGGTGCAGACGGCTGCTGAACAGAGGTTTCATCACAGGATTTCCACCTGTGGTTGTAGCAGAGAGTGACTGACTCTAGAGACATGCTCAGATGGAGTGTAGCCCCCACTGATAGGAAGCCAAAAGGCCATCTGCACCGCCGGCTATTGTGTGGCTGCATTAAGCTATTTTATGCCCCACGTGGATTTACTGCTTGTCTGAAGTTAGCTGGACTGCAGGCAATGAGTATATTATGTGTACTGTGGAGAGAACAAAGGCGGTTTTAGTGACGTGCGAGAGCATTGCAGATGCAAAAGTACGAACATGTTGTGATAGAAGAGAAAAAACAGATTTCGGCTCAATACTTTATTAAATAATCAACATAGTGTAGTAAACATCATCATGAAAAAGGAAAGAAAACATGAAAAAATGAAAGTCACATTTATTTTTCTTCAAGTTTTTCCCATCAACAGTATTTTACTTTTAGAACTACACACACTCTTTGGTGACTTTACAAAAGTCACTCTCTTCATTTTGGCTCAATGGTTACAGTGATGCAGGAAGAGGTTTACCTCTGTATTAACATCTGTCCAGTGATGACACAACGCAGGTGAGGCGTTGTGATGAGTGTGAAGTTTGTGAAATTTCTTAAGGAAACGGAAATGCTTTTCTTTTTGCGTCTAAGCTGGAACTGCCTGCAATGCATGCTACATGTACAAAGACCGTCTTTGTCTCACCAGCTGGTGCATTGATGAGAAAGGCTACTGACGGTCTTACTGTATACGTGCACTGTGAATCTAAGGGGCAGTGAAGTTCTTGTTGCAGTAAATGGTGTTCTCTTTGTAGCTACAAAACAGGCTGAGCTCAGGTTTAAAAACATCCAAATGGCCACATTTAACTTAGCACAGTGACAGATAAAGTCAGACGTGAGACGGTCAGGCTGAGTCTAAAATAAAAGATGTTATAGTTCTGTTCACATGAATTCACATGCTTTGCTATTTCAGGACCGAGCTTGAGACAGTGAGAGCTTTTTTTCTGTTTCTAAACATGAACAGACCTAAAAGACTTTAATACTGTTGACGTCATGTTTCCTGTGAAGGAATATCTAAGTTACCAAAGAAACAATCATTTATTTAAAGCGTCACATATAAAAATCTAACAAAAGTAGAGGTAAAAAAAAAAAAAACATTTCTAAACTATCTGGCATGCTACTACACAGCAAGTCTATTTCTTTTTATTAATTTTTTCATTCTTAACAGCTCTTTTTATTGCACACCCACATATTTACATCATCAGTCTATGGTGAAATTTCACAACCTGCAGCAGCAACATACTGAAATAACACAACTCATAGAGCTGTGGTGGCTTAAAGGATAAGCCTGGTGATGTATTTTATATTTCTCTTATTGTCAACAAATCCCATGAAAACAATAACAGTTAATTTATCTCCTAACCCTTATCTTCTGCCCAGAATCACGGAGCCACACCACTGTACTGCATCACATTATTACAATAAATGTGGGCACTGTAGTTTTTTTTTTTTGTCAGTCTCAAATACACCATCCTACTGCTGTATATACTCAAGACACCAAATGCGTATTCATCCACAGCTGAAAATAGTCCCCAACAAATGAACTTTTTACTCCCGTTTGTTTGCTTTTTTGTTTTTCAAGAAAGTGTTTCCCCCTTTTTAAAAGTTTACATTCATGATACACATCTAAATATTGTTGTCTTTAATAAACACAAATAGGGACTTGTTGACAGTAACAGAATAACACCACATTTATCCTTACGAACTTTTATCACACTGTTCACACAAACCCAAAGGTCTCCAAACCAGAGCCAGTCCAAGGCCCATCGGAAATATTCTCTAAAGCAGTTGTCAAAGTCCCAGATGGAGGGCACATCCACAGAATAAGGTTCAGTTTAAACTTATTGTCATGTTTCTATATGTATCAAGAGTCATAAATTATCCACAGAGATGCCACAGACCTCATGTGTCAGTCAGGTGTGAGAGCACAGGAGTCACGCTGAAGGTTTTGATTGGATGGACAGAGTTAGAGCTCCAGGTGAGATACGAGCCGCTTGGACAGAGGTACTGAAACAGGACAGCTGCCATTTTGATCAAGACCAAATTACGACACATTTGACAAATGGTACTGATGAGACTGTATGAGAAAAAGGTTGTTTTTCATTAAAGGCAAAGGAAACCTGCAGCAGATTATTTCTTATTTGTTACTGACATCAAGACGTTGAGTTAACATCAGCATCACTTGGACATGCTGTGTTGCATCTTCTGATTTAATAACATCCAGGTCTACAGGTGATGGATGGTGGAAGCAGATACTGCCTTTAACTTTGACCCACATTCACACACATACACAACCGACTCACAACAAATAGTCCCATTCTGCCCTTCCTTGTGCTGACAATAGCTGGCGGGCACTGGGTGTCAAATCTAATGAAACAGGCCAGGAACAACAGCTGAGTGTGTGTGTGGAACTGGGGTTGGAGGGGGGAAGGGGAGGGAGGCGGTTGAGTCAAGACACAAGTGTCCTTGTCGAAGCTGGGGCCAAGCCAGAGAGAGCTGCACTGACGGCAACAATGAGCCTGAAACTGCTGACAGTCAAGGCTCAAGATAAAAAGACAGAAAGGGTTTTTCACTACTTGACTCTGAGCGTGAGTCACTGCCCTCATTCCTCAGTGGTTGGTGTGAATTCAGGCAGGCTTTACTCCTGTAAGCCCCGCTGAGGGCCACACTCTCAGCCTCCAGTTTGTGGCAGCAGGATTTGAGCCAAGGGTCAAAACCTCACGAGAAGTATGATGCCAAATCTCATCGGATTCTGAACTGTTTATACTTTTTCCTCATGTTCTCACCCTGCAGCCCCTCTCTCTATTTGATTGGGTGGGCGGATTAAGACTGGATTACCTGAAGAGAGTACATCCACCACAGTTTTTGTTTGCACACGTGGGTAAAGGTCAGATGGGATGCATGTGTATCATATGATGCGAGTTTATACTGTAGCATTACAGCAAAGTGTGCAGGAGACTGCCACACGGAGGAGGGAGCAACCTCCAGATGCCCGAACTCAATAAGATTAAGGCTGTACCACACGCTATTGTGAGCAATGCATGGTGGTACAGTAGAAGTCAGGCATTTGTGTTTTAGACTCAGAGCAGCTTCCTAAACCAGCAACATGCAACAGCAGCTGCTTCCAACCTAAGGGCCGGGGTCTGCAAAAGGAGTTAAATGTGACTTTAAAAAGTATCCAAATCAAACAAATAATAAATTACTATTCAGTTAAACTAGTACCTGGAAAACACATGCAACCATTAACTCTTTCATTTTAAGGTGACACAAGCCAAAAAGCCTGAAAACTGTCCTGTACTGGAGGCAGAGCTCACCATCTGTTTGTTTTAATGTAAAAAAAAAAAAAAAAGGAAAGCCAAGCTCTAATGCAGCAGTCCAAGATAAAATCTATGAATCTTTGCTTTTCTCCCATTTCTACTTTCTACTACTGGAAGCATTTTCTGAGCAGTCGGCACTGGAAGTTGAACTGTAAACTTGCAGCAGGAAACTAAAGTATTAGATGTTAGTAATATAAATGTATTTAATCTGATCTGCTGTCAAAAATATCCATATACTCAAGATATAACAATGGACTCATCTGTGACCCACCTCTGCACAATAAACCCCATGGGAAATAGAAATTAAAGCCACTGAAGCACAAATGCCAATTATTCATTCAAGGGAATATTGAATAACGAGATGCAAGATGAGGTTAGGACTAGATGGAGATAACCAAAAGCCTCTTGGCAACAATAAACCCGTTCAGCCACGATAGCATCCATGTGTTATTCCTACCTGGGTCGCTCTCAGCCACTTGTGTTTTAATCATGCCCTGAGGAGATTAACACGCACACAATGAGGTATTTAAATGTGTGTGTGTTTAAAGTCCAGCCTGGTCCAGTCTGGTCTGGATTAGTCACTGGAGCTTTGCAGGGCTGCCGAGTGGACAAGAAGGGGCAGAGGCTATTCACTGCCGAATCTGGGCCACAATTAATGCACCATAATGACACTCCATGCATTTTCGTTGGTATCAAATGAGAAAAGTTTTTTTTTTTTTTTTTAATCTATTAATGCCGACACACCGGTCGGTAGAATTGGTGCTAAGGTAGAGTCGGCTACGTTAGCAGCCTGGCTAACAAAAATTCAATGGAAACTCCTGGGCTGAAAACATGAATGAAGCCAGTCATGCCGACTCATCACAATGTGGTCGTATTGCACACACCTGCAACACTCCCTCTACAACCCCTCACCTCCCCGGCCAACACGGCCCTGTGCGTTAAAACACAGCAGGGACTTCGGTCTACTGGTAGGTTTGAGTGAATACTGGTAAAAACAGCAACTGTGCCTGCAGACCAGAGGACCCTCAAAAGGCTCCACAAGACACTGTCTGCTCATTTTGCTTTGCTGATTACACAGCACAGGACCTAACATGGACCTCTCAGCTGTTCCCATCAGTCTGAGTCAGCTGTCACTGCTGGCACTTGGGTCTTAGCCAGCAGTGGACATCAAGATGTCTCCTTGTATTATCCAGGAAAATGACTTGGCCTCAGTGGAGTATTTTACTCCTGATTAAACTGTTAGTTGAATCCATGTTTACAAAATGACCAGAGAAAAATCCTTGATGGTGTCATGAATGAGGGTGTTTTCCTGCATGGTACACACTGACTGACATTCAGGTAGGTAAGAGAGGATGCTGGGATGTCCAGCTGTGCTCATCCAGAGGGGCAGCTGGGATAACGGGGACCAGGCACACAGAGTCAGATGGGACAGGTGGACCAAATGGTTCCTCCTTATAAACTCAGTTGGATATTCCAGTCAAAATAAGCAAATGTAAGCCTGTGTTTATGTGCCAATTATCAGAGAAAATCTCTTTGGGGCAAAATGTTTTCATTCCTGATTCCTGTCTGTGGATGGAGAGGCAACAAGCACATGGGGGGTGGGGGGTGAATAAATAAGTCTATTCTGAAGAAGTCCTTCATTGCTCCTGCAGGAGAGCAGAATGACTAGAGAGCAATCTGTAGGAGACAAACGTGTGTCTGTGTGCATGAGTGTAGCAAAAGGCTTACAATCAGTAAGGACGGGTGCTCAAACCTCCTCTCACCGATCCAGAACCCGACTATAGTCCTGAGGGCCACAGCCACCTTCACTCTTGAGTTCAGCAAATACTTGGGTGAAAAAGTGCGGGTCTGCATTGATGCGCAACATCTTTGAGCTTGTGGCGTCGATGATGGTGAGGCACCGGTCCCAGAAGGCCTCCTTACCTGCCTCCACCAGGAAGGGCTTGAGTGGGTACGAGATCTCGTTGCCCATATAGGAGTAGGACAGGTAGAGGCAGGTGAGCAGGATAGCCTGCAGTTCATGCTCTGATGCCACCAGCTCGCCATTCACTACATCTCGGCACAGCATATAGACGAAGACCACGTTGGCTGGTGTGACGAAAGCCTGATCCTGCCAGCCCTGCAGCAGCAGAGAGCGGTCCACAGCCCGCAGCCAGAGCACTGGGTCAGCCGGAGACAGGTGCTTCAGGCGGTAGCAGCGACAACACAGGAACTCCCCCAAACAGCGCAGGAGCTCACTGGTGGAGGCCTGGACAATAACACGCTTAGGCGATGATGTCACCAGGCCCTGGGGGCCTTTTTTCACAGAGGAAAGCTGCTGGGATTTGCTGTAGCTAAATCCATGCCCCTGACCCATCCCCAGCCCATAGCTGAGTCCCAGACCCAGTCCTGCTGGGCCCTCGTAGTTGGACAGGTTGGCACATGACAGCGACTTCTTCACATTCTCACAGTTGAGGTGCAGCACGGGGTCCTTTTGGTAGACGTTGTTGTTGTTGTTCAGGGGGTCCCTGAGGGCAACTTGACCATCAGTGCTTTTCTTAGAGTTGCCCTTCTTCTTCGTGGAGGCCACAAGTCGCTTCCAAGTGAGCGCCGGGAGGAAGATGGACTGGCCCCTCTTTAGCCTGCGGTCTTTCTGGCTGTTGAGAGAGCGGCTGCTGAGGCTCGGGTAGTGACTAAGCAAGCCTGGCCGGTTGTCATAGTACCCTGATTTGCGAGAGCCAGGGGAAAGTGACAGTACAGTGCCCATAGCAAGCCAGTGATTCAGAGATTATCCTGCCTTACTGGTGTTGTAGAGACTCTGCGTTCTCTTTTATTCTTTAATATCCAGAAGATGTGAGCTCTCAGCAGGGAACCAACATGAAGAGGTGAGCAGTGCTGACATGTCAAGGTGAGCTGAATGGTAGACGCAGCTTAATTCACTATGGCTGCAGAGGCTTTACCTATAACATTACAACACACAGCAAGAGATCATGTTAACAAATGAACACTAAAACAAACACACACACAATAGCAGGTCATAAACATATTGGTCTTGTGATGGTCTTGAGATTAACCTCCTCAGCCTCACTGTGTCAACAGGGGTCAGTCACTACATGCTTTCATTGTGCTGCCAAACTCAAATTTGCAAACCTTTATTTTAAATTCTAATGGCGAAATTTAAATTTTTTGAAACGACTCGTATCTTTATCTTAATGATGCATAAGCCAAGAAGGTGCAATAGTGCGCACACAACACACTTGTTTACGCACAAACATTTTCTTCTGTATGGTTAAAACAGACTTTGTCGTTTCTGCTTTAAACGTTCTTTTAGTTCAAAACTGTGGCATCATAAAAATACATAAATTCTTAAAATGTAATCTACATCAGTGTCGTCGCTGAGAGCAGCTCTGAGACTCACCTGTGTGCTCCAGTTGTCCGGGTGTGTTTTTTTGCCGCAGTCCTCACTGGTGCAAAGATACACAGGAGCGCAACAAATGCACTGTTTCTGCAGCCACAGTCAGCGACTGGTGATGGCAGCGAGCAGGACAGTGACCTCTGTTTGCAGAGCAGGAGGCAGACAGTCACGGTAGCAGAAGCTTTGAGCGAATCTTCAAAGATGCCGAAGGTGGAACAACGCGTGGCTCCTCGCCATGGGGTGCACGTGTCATCCTCCGCTGCACCTCAGACCCAGGCGGGAATTATGCGCGACTTTATTGTGGTTAACTGTGTTTTCATTTGCGTCCCCATGTCTGGCTCGGAAACAAAATGCAACTTTCACAGTGTCCGAGTCCTTTCAATGTATTCCATCGCTTCACCAATACGCATCCGTGCGTAAAGTCCCCACTGAGTTCTCCCGGTCCCGTTACCGTTATCTCCGCACACTGAGATGTCCAGTCGCCTAGTGGCCGGTGATCGGTCCCGGCTGTCAGACCTGTGAACGGACTCTCATGCGGTAAAGGCTGAGCAGCCAGTGAGCAGACAGGGCGGCTCATCTCACCGCCTCCCACAGACAGACTCCTCCTAACGGGACTCAGCTGCTTCACACACACACACAAGAATAAACCATAGGCTTAAGTGAAGCGTTACACATTGTAATCAGTCGTTGTTGTCATTACCATCAACAACAATTAATAATTATTATTTTGCCAATTTTCCCCCATTAACATTAAACATTAACAGTGGTAGTATTGGGAGCCATTTTACTGTAAACCTAAGTCTAAGTCTAACTTTATTTTATGTACATTTAATGAAAAAAATGCAAGACAAATAATTGACATAGACACTTTTAAATTTCTATTTTAGTTTAAATTTCTAATTTTCTGAACAGTTTAAAGATTTATCATAAGATAATGAAGATGAGAAAGACAATGTTCATGTGAACATCAGAACAAATGATAACTGTGGTGGGATTGTTTCTCAGTTGCTGTGCCCAAGTACAAGAATGAAATGTAAACCTCAAATTAAAAAATAAAAACAGTGATAAATAAATAACAGCAAACTGGAAAGAAAAAGAACAGTGTTACTGTTCAGTTACAGTAAAGCAAGCGACAGTGGTAGTAATGGGGTGTAGGTTGTAGAAGTAGCAGGATAAACTTTGCACAGATCCTTCTGCCAGCTCTGCACACAGCAGCAAGTACAAGGCTGTCTAATGAAAACTCCCAGCTACATAAACCGCAAATGGTGCAGAATGCGTGTGAGCCAATAAAGACATAATGGCTTAAAAGATGTATGCAGTCGTCCCACAAAGGCCTGTAAACATAAGTGTCAACCACAGGGAGGTAAAATTATAGGTTCACACTGATTTATAAGAACATTAACACACAAATGTTAGATTAAAAATCCTCCTTACGGCTCCAAGAGACTCAGAGCTGCACCAAGTGAAGTCTCTGCTGTTTTATGCTCTTTTATTGCCTTGCAACAAAGTTATGTGTGTCTTTGTTGTTGTGACAATCCTCATGTGTCACATCCTCTCTGAATGTATGCACATCAACTAAATTCCCCCTGAGGAACTAATAAAGTGAATCAAGTCAAGCTAAAAATGAAATATCAGATCCTGGTGAAGTGACAGTTTGACACCCACACCTGGGAAGGCTTCTGTGGGTTAGAGCCTCTGACACATGGTGGCAGGTCAGGTCTTATTATGCAGCTGTCTTCAAGAGTCCATGCTGTGTTGTAGGTCAAGGAGATGCCTAAGAGTGTAAGAGGACAGGAAAGGTGGGATCGGCTGCAGCCCCTCCTCCCTGTGACCTCCAAGGATAAGATGATATAGCTAATAGATGGATGGATGATGAGTGTCTGCCTGACTCAGTGAGATGTGGCTAAAACTCATCTTTGTTTCCATTTCTGTTTAGGTCTTATATCAGTGTGAGCTTTCTGATTGGCTGCTCCAGTTGTATAGGGGAGAGCTCCTGACTCAACACACACACACACACACGTTACTATTCAGTCTCATTTTCTGTGCTGCCCTTCGCTCTCGCTCTCCAACAGCTGCAGGACTCTCAGCATCTCCTGCACAGCTGACCTGAATACACTGAGGGCTATGAAAAGAGCTGTTGTTGTCCACTCATGACCCCTGTTCACTGTCCTCCTGCAGCGCGCACACACACAAACATGCTCATCGCCACCAGGAGCCACGAAACATGAGCACAGACCTGTAACAGCTGTTGGTGTCACCCTAGTCCCCATTTTGACATTTTGCTTTTTAAATCCTGAGATTAAATGCAGATGAACAGCATGAAACTGTCTGTTTGTTATACTGAGTCATGTCAGCTTTAAAAAAAAAGTTTAGTGTTCTGGTTTATTCTGGTTTACAATGTGTGTACAGTCCTGATTTTGGGTCACAAATCTTTTTTGCTATCATTTGCTGTTGTTTGACCTAGTTTCATTATGTAATTGCAGTTTGTACTGTCATGTCCCGCATCGTGCAGCAGGAGTAGAAGACCGGCGCAGTCAATAAAATAAACACTTTCCTGCTTGGTCCTTTCTTTTGTTTTTGCACCAGGGCTTCTTTTACAAATGAGGCCCAGCAGCTGTATTTTTTTTCTGCTCCCATTACAAACACTTTCATCCACATCCACATGCACATCTAGCCTTTCTGTATCACACTCACTGATTTTATTTTATTTTCTAAAGCCTAGCAGAGCAAATGTGCTGAAATAAAAACTAAAATTGTTTTTCTGTATCAGCAGAGGCTACTGCTTCCTCTGATGTTTCTTTTGAGTTTTCTTAGATGTAATCATGGCTTGCTGCTTCTGTCTTCTCCAGGCACATTGACGAATTTAGAGTAACTGTTGTAGCGGAGCTTAAAATGTTTTATTTCCCCTATGTTTTACACTTTATAACCTGATAGCTCACCTGTGTGCTGCAGCCTCAGTCAGTTTATGCTCACACAGCAGAGGCACATGTATTCATAGCTCCTAAAAAGAGAAAAACAAAGGCAGCCAAACAAAATAGGGCATCAAAAATGAAAAGCAATGAAATTAGAGCAAGACATCAGAAATGAGAGAAATGAGAGCAGTGGTTTCACAGAAAGGGAGCGGGTGAAAAGGGTGGTAAAGAGAATCCAGACAGAGGGGAGTAGAGTAAGCAGTGAAAGGAGAACAAGAGCGGGACGAGACAATAACAAGGCTGCAGAACGAGTGCACTGTTGGCTAATAAGCTGAGCTGTTCTTGTTGCTGGAGTGAGATAGGTTCACCTGATGACACATCTGTCCGTCTGACTCACCCAGACTCTCTAATCTCCCTCTTAAAAACCTGGGTGGAGCAGCAGATGGCACGGGGGGAAAGACAACACAAGGCACAGTGGGATTAGATTTTTATTAAAGACAGGCCTCAGTACTGTCCAGTGCTGACATGATGGAGGTCTTTCTATCTGTATACGAGTGTTTCCTTACAAACATGCCACTGAACCTGAAAGAGTTACTCAGAATAAATGTATTAAATCTGGATTAAAAGCACTGGCTAAATGAAACTAAATACATTTACTCCGGTACTGTGCATTTGAGGTTCTTTCCTTGAGTATCTTTGACTGATTTTATACTTTTACATAACATTTACATATAGAGACTTTTGTTGTGATTTCATAGCATTTTAAGTATTGTTCTTTTTAATCCACTACCGTAGCTAACCCATTACCACATATCAAACAGCTGTTTTTGAGCTAGGGTCTCAATGCAGGAGCTCCCACTTTATAGGTGAAGAAATGTCGACCCAGGTGAGACGAATCAGATGCAATATAATTACTTTAAAATTAAGATTTGACATGAAAAACATTTGATGAGCTTAGAGAATGTGATATATATTTTTAGATAAAATTACAGTATATTGTATAAAAGAGTTTAAATGAACTCCACTTTCACCAACTGCATAATTAACATGCTATATAAACGTACTGCACAGCGGGCAATTGTCTACTTTTACCCTTGATACTTTCTGATACCTTTACTGCATTTTGCCAATAATACTTGCATACCTTTACTAAAGTAAGATTTTAATTTATTTTAATTGTAACTTTTTAGTTACAGATGAGTGCTTTTTCACATGCTATTACAGATACAGTTAAAAAAAAAATTCACCTGATTGAAAAGCTGAACACTTGCATTTGCTAGGATATGGATAGTAAACCTATTTGTAGTATGACTACATAGTTCTACTGCCATGTGGTGATGCTGCCATCTAGTGGTCAGTTAAAGTCAGTTTCAAAAATATCAAATCAAATCAAATCAAATCAAATTTTATTTGTATAGCGCCAAATCACAACAAAAGTCATCTCAGGACACTTTACAAAGTAAGGTCTAGACCTTACTGTTATCACTATTATTACATAGGGAAAACCCAACAAATCCCCCTTGAGCAAGCACTTGGCGACAGTGGGGAGGAAAAACTCCCTTTAACGGAAGAAACCTCCGACAGACCCCGGCTCTTGGTGGGCGGCCTTCTGCCTCGACCGGTTGGGGTGAGTGGATAGAGGAGAGACAAAAGAAGAGAGAGGAGAGGAGAGGAGAGGAGAGGAGAGGAGAGCAGGAGGGGAGGGGAGAGAAACTCAGAGCATCATGGGGCCCCCCAGCAGCTTAGGCCTATAGCAGCATAACTAAGGGAGGGCTCAGGGTCACCTGATCCAGCCCTAACTATAAGCTTTATCACAAAGGAAAGTCTTAAGTCTAATCTTAAAGGTAGAGAGGGTGTCCGCCTCCTGAACTGAGACTGGGAGTTGGTTCCATAGGAGAGGAGCTTGATAGCTAAAGGCTCTGCCTCCCATTCTGCTTCTGTGGACTCTAGGAACCACAAGTAAACCTGCACTCTGAGAGCAAAGTGCTCTGCTCGGATGATAAGGCTCTACGAGGTCTTTAAGATACGATGGAGCCTTGTCATTAAGGGCTTTGTATGTTAGGAGAAGGATTTTAAATTCTATTCTGAATTTTACAGGGAGCCAGTGGAGAGAAGCTAATATGGGAGAGATATGATCTCTCTTGCTAGTTCCTGTCAGTACTTTGGCTGCAGCATTTTGGATCAACTGGAGGCTTTTTAGGAAACTGTAGTTACAGTAGTCCAGCCTGGAAGTAACAAATGCATGGACCAGTTTTTCAGCATCACTTTGAGACAGGATGCTCCTGATTTTTGCAATATTGTGCAGGTGAACTATCTAGTCTGGATTTATCTGATTCAGTTCCAGGTCTTTTAATCATTTTAATGGAGTAGGCCGAGTCTGATTTCGAGGAAATAAATCATACAAGCATTAGAGAATTTGCTGCAATACGAAGCACAAGTATACTATATTATTAAGTAGGCCATTAAAATAATGTATGGTAAAAATACATTCACGCTGCCAACGCGTAAAAAATCTAAAGAAGAAGAAGAGGAGTAAATAACAAACGAAAAAGAAGAAGGTTTGCTGAAGTTGATTTGCGCACCTGTTGAGTTTTGTTGCCTTCAACATTAAGACTAGGACTCACGGTAGTAAACCACGTTTAAACGAATATCAGATACATTGTGTGCTAAGCATGTAACGAAAAAGGGCTTTAAAAATCGGATGAAACATATTTAGACTAATTAATTCATCAACAGACCACCCACCTGTTCAGGTGAAAGACTTCCTGGTAATGCAACTTTACTTAATATTTACCGTAATTACATTTCTAACACGGTTGCTAATTAGCTTTGCTAATGTTTGTAGTTTGTTTACAATGCCCAGACCTATTTTGGTGCTGTCCCGTCAGTTTACAAATCGCCATAACTGATGTCAAATAAAACGTAAAGCCTAATTAATGAAGTTCTGCTCTACGTTAAATGTTACAGCAGTCTGTTTTCTGTCATATCTGTACTTGACATTTATTGGCTTTTCATACTGAATTCAGTCTGTTGCACTGTGAACCAAGGGCTAGAGCTGGGATGCAGTGTAGTGGAAGCGTTGTGCCTGTTACAGTGTGTCAACGACTGCAGCCATTTTGATGGTTTACCTGTCTGCACAGTATGTACCTGAACTCAATTTGATTGTACTGTGGAAGATAAAACAATTCTGACAGGGCAGTAGCTACCATTGAAAACACTGCAGTAGAACTGCAACGGTGATTAGTCAAACTGATTTGTCTGTTGACAGCAAATAAATCAGCATCAACATCATCAAATGTGAGAATGAGTTGCTTTTCCAGTATAGTATTTTAGTAATAAAACAAGACATTGGAGGGTGTCACCTTGGACTCTAGAGGAAGTTGTATTTCACTGTTGAAACAATCTTTGTACACTGGCAACAACAAAGACAACAAAAGTGTGAAACAAAATATTATTAAAGAGGCCCTGCAGGCCACAAACAACATGATTAGACCTTAATTTAGATGAAAACTGTCTGAACCTGTAGAATATTGTGAAATAGTTTGTCACTGCCAAATGTGTTTCTTGGTGGGGGAACCTGTGAGCTCAAGCAAATACAAATTAGAGTTCCCCAATGCAGAAGATCAAAACTCTTTCACAGTTCCCTCTCTCCCACATCAACTACAGCACATGTCACAAGTGGACAACAACAAAAATTCAGCTCCTTCAACAGTGACAGTATTTTAAACAGAAGACAAATGATAGTGCTTTCTCATACAAAATAGAAGTGAGTAGAGCTTCCAGTGCCAGGCTGTGGTGATTTATCATGCACATATTATCCCAATTAGCACAATATGGCAACAGTGCAGGCTGCTTGACCTTTTAGCACCATCCTCATTTGTATCATATCAGCGCAAAAGCATCTCCTAAATCACTGCTCCTCACTTCCTGGTCAAATCACCTCACACTGTTTAAATCTACGAACCTTAAAGAAAAGAGAGAGAGTCAAGAGTGAAGTTTCCTAAAATGTGATTTTGTCTTTTTACAGAACAATTGTAGTCCAGAACCAGGACCAGGAGCTGGAATAACAGAGGTGAAAAGGTATCAGCTAAATTTAATATCAATGCATGTCACAGACCTTAAAATGCTATAAATGTTATTTTTTCATTTTCAGTGTTATTAACATTTATTGGTTATATTCTCAGTAATTATTTTACAGTAATAAAAATACTATTGCCCAAATTTGATTATCTGCTAGGCACCCTGTGAGGATTTAGAGTTTGACGTTAAAACAAAATTTTAGTGCATGGAAAGATCTTTCATTGTAAAAGAAAACAAAAATGACATCCACCGTTTCAGATTTTCTTAAAAGTCACCCTGGATTGTGAGAAACAGTGATGGGCATTTTTCTTACACGCTTTTAACATTTTTGTACATAAAATAATTGAATAATGACAATAAAATGAGGACATTAATCAGCAGTGACAACTGATAGGTGCAGCTGTGTTCTAGTCATTGTTTAGGGGGCTTTGACACAGGACCTGGCACTAATGTTTGCAGCTAAGATTTACATAATCAAACATTTTACTGAACAAAACTCATGTAAACCTGGCTTTATATCAGCAGATGGAGGTGAAAGGCTTTATAAAGCTGAAATGTGCATGGTTGTGCCTCTGCTTTTTTTAACACTACTCCTCATTAGAGGGCAGTAGGTGCATGTGATAATGTTGCCTTCTCCTGGCTTCATGCCTTTGTCTGACTGTTGAGTTGACTGATGTTAAATCACTGGGTGCCAGTGTTGTTTGGACTGAACCTGTACCCTGTTATCATTCACCTCTGTCAGTAGTTAGAATTGTTTAAATAATCATGTGTCTCTGTGGTTTTAACCTCTTTAATGTGAATATTTGCTGGTTTTCTTATTTTCCAATGATCTTTAACCAAAAATATTTGGGTTTGGCACCAGTGGTCTGACAAAACATTCAGCCTAAATATGTTGGCTAATGCTCCAGAAAAGGTTTTTGGCTTACTGTTTTCTGTCTTTAATCAGTAAATGGAGAAAAGAGCCACCAGGTTTAGGCAATAACTATTAATTATTTATTATCTTTCCAAATCTGTTTTCTAATTTAACAATAAATCAACAGTTTGATCAAATCGTGACCCTTACTAGAGCTCAAACAGCTAGTCGATTAACTGATTAGGAAAACAAACAGGCTCCTCCTTGCTAAGAAACTGTACAACTTGTAAAATTAGAACATGGTATTTTTACATTTAGACATTTGTATGAGCTAAACAAATAAGATGTATCATGTTAATTAGTGAGCTTTAGAGGTGGTTGGCAGATTTTTATAGAAAAATTCATGCACAAGAAATTCCAGTGCACACAAAGGGAGATTGTCTGTTTATTAACTGTTGTGTATAAATCCATGGGCAAATAGTGTGTTTCCATCTTGCAGCTTCTTCACGCTCTCTCATGACATGATCAGGTGTGTTTTCCTGCTCCAGCTTAGAAGCCTAATAGATGAATGAGCATACAACTGTGCACGGGATGATCATCTGCAGATGGCGTTAGCCTGGGGCAGAGCCACGCCAACCGTTTCCCTGTTCCTCTACCTTTATGCTAAGATAAGCTAACTGGCTTCGACTTCTTATTAATCACAGAGATGAGAGTTAGACAACAGACAGTGTGAAGATGGTACTATGGGCTCTAGGAAACTGTAAAAGGTACTTCTCATTAATCAGAATGAAATGAAGGTCGATGGTCCAGTGTGGGTCTGATGAAATCCCCTTAATGTGCTTAATAATTTCCTTCTTTTTAAAATGGCTAAAGTTACCTGGTTTCCTGTATGTTTGTGCCTCTCGTTTGTCAGCGTGTCTGTCTCTGACCATTATGCCTGGAGGGGGTCAAACCTGTTAACCTCTCCATTGAAGAACACATCAACAAGGTTGCTGATGTGCTGTTCACTACACCTTCAGGCACACAGACAGACACCCTGATCCCACAGGCAGAACGTAGCTTTCAGCGCTGAGCAAACATTTGATCCGGCTGGGGATCAGCACACTAACCCTCATCCCCCATTAGCTCGTGTGTTTCACTCCATTGCTTGTTTTTTACCGTGCCCAGATTGAATGGATGCAGCAACATAGAGAAAAGATTTATCTCCTGAAAGATGCAAACTGCCACACACTCCTCACCAGGCAGCTTCAAGGGACAGAGGCATTAGCTGTGTATTTAGAGTGTTATTGGATTCATAGGAAGCCTTTCAGCCTCTGTCTTGGGATTTGGGGGCAACTTGTTTGTTGCCGGAGACCAGCTTATGGTGTTAACCCATGGCCTCACTGCCCTTTGACCCTCAGGACGACAGCTCCATCCACGCGTCAGGCAGGAGGGCTGACACGACGGAAACATCAAGAACAGGGCTGCTGAGGAGGGAGGGAGGGATAATTAGTGTCGGTGTGGCTAACACGAGATCAAAAACATCATGAGAGTTGAGAGTGTCGGGCTGCTGGATACATAATCTGTCTGCAGGAAAAGTGTGATAGATGCCATCAGTCACAGAGGAGCTGAGGATTAAGAGCCAGGCTGTGTTAGCAACTGATGAAGCTTGCAAAGATAGTCATCTGTGCAAATGTTCAGTGGGTCAGGTGCCTGATAATTAATTAAAGCTAGCAGTGTTTTAAACTACAACATACTGATAGATCACTTAACATAAAATCAGGCTTTAATATACATAAGGATGGACAAGCAAAAGGCAGCAGTTGAAGTCAGTATGCACTTTATCTGTCATTTATCTAGTTTTGTTATTATTTATTAAGACTTTACATAATGTGAAAAATTTGCATTTCTTGTTCCCAAAGCCAAAAGTGACATCTTCTCATTGTTTTGTTGACCAAAGAAATATTTACCTAATAATTATATGAAATGGATAAAAGCCTGAAATCCTCACAGTTGAGTAGGTGGAAGGAGAAAATGTTCAAATCGAAATGACTTTAAGTACGGCCATCCCAAACTATTTGACAGAGCCAGCGTGGTAAAGGATGTATTGGATGGAACACTTCAGACCGGCAACTAATTATATTTCTGATTTATAGGATTATTTTTTTACAATCATTTGTTTTGTCTAAAAATATTCACATTTGTGAAGTTTATTCTAATATCCCAGACTTTCTACAATAGAGGCCAAATTTTCTTCACTGAATTGGAGAAGAAACAATGAAATAATGCACAGAATACATTTAAATGTGCCATTTGATGTGCTTTCATCAAAATGTGTCTGATGGAATAATTGACTTTGACTTTGCAGTAGGTTTAGTTACGTTCAAGACATTACATGATTCTTTTGCCTTTTATCCTGCTGAGTGCACCCTAAGTTGTTCTGGAGAAACACTGCAGGTTCAAAGATTTGTTTTCTGAGCATGAATGTGTCCTATGCAGGACATTGTTTTACAGTTTGGAAAGAATGTTTAAACCGAAGCTGAAGATACTTAAAGGGAAACTCGAGGGGAACGTTGGGGTTCAAGTGGTCAAGCTTCCTGCTTTTACATTGCTGTTTATCAGGAACTCTGCATCCATCAGGTTTTAATGGCTCACTAAATTTGCCTTCCACTGAGGTTATAAGGTGCAATTTTACCATCCATTTTACAGGTGACGTTTCCCATCTACCATGCCGACGTGACCAAACGAGTGTACCCATCGGCTGAGTAACTGCTGAGGGTGGTGGTGTTCCCATCTGTGAATCCTTCTGGAATGTGGAGGTGGGTGACCGCAAGCATCCGTGTGCCAGTGCAGTGACACATATGCATCAAACAGGGTCACACTATCTTCAAAGCCTGTCGCCTCCAACATGTGATACAAGCCGAACCTCAAAAAAAAAAGGCAGACATCTAGCATTCCTGAGCCCATTCCACAAAGTACAATAACTTCCTTGAATTCTTCAACCCTCGACAGCGGAGCCAGGGCACATCCTGTTGTCCTTGCAGCACTTCCTGTTCATGCAGCTCAATCAGTCGTCCTCGTTGCCATGGCCACTGGAAAACAAAGCTTTCATGCTTAATAGGTACGCTGACAGGTAACACTTGGGTGATTAGCAGAGCATGATGTGTGGCAGGAGTCTCACATTAGATCACATTGGCTTTTTATTTGATCTGATTTCAAAACCTCCATCCACAGTGCTAGTGCATGCACATCTGCATGAAAATTATATTCTTGTTAAATGCGGGTCAGGACCCTGGTGTTGTTTGAGACACACAGCAAGTAGTTAAGGTAGCAAAGGCGTGCTAATGTGATCAAATCTATACTTTTCTGGAGGTGTGATTTGCACTGATGCAGGGAAATTGTTAATTGGCGCATGACCCAAGTTGATATGTGTCATACTGCGCCCTCTAGTATTTGGCAAATATATCATGCAGCTTGTGAATACTGTGTACTGCTGTGTGGATTGTGCTCATTAGATTACATCTGAACAATGAAGGGAGCGTGTATCTACCAATTGTGTGTGGAGCTGGAAAAACTGAACTCAGAAGAAAATAAAATGGTTTTAGTGACTGTTTAGTGATTGTTTGCAACAATGGGGAGACATTTTGACCTAATTCGGGCTGTTGGTTGCTTTTATAAATAGCCTGTAAGTGGCTTCATATTGTATTTGTAGTTTTTGGACTTGCATTAAGTTTGGGTTGTTTCATAAGCACATTGTTGCTGCCAGCACAGTGTTCATTTGTCAGCTTCCACCTTGGCGGTCCTGGCCAGACTCAGGCTCCACTGGGTGTAGACTAACCCTGGTGGGATTCATTCAGTTCTGCTTCCTGCACTGCTGCGTCTTTCCAAGAGTCCACGAGCCAGAGGAAATCAGGCTGGCAACTGGCCCCTTTAAAGGGATGGAGGAGTTTTTTTTAACAAGACTTTTGTGCTCATCTTAAGATGCATACGTTTTGACTGTTGTTCCATGCGAACCCACCCTGCAAATCACTTAACACCAGCTCTGAAAGCAGAGTAGGGATGTTACAGGCCCTCAAGCCCTGATGGGATAAGGATGAGCGGCCATATGGTATGAACAGTAGAGGTCCATGACATCATGGGCCAGGAGGATGATACTGCCTCACCCCACCTGAATGCTACACCTCCGTCTGCTTCTGGCATTAGTATGTGGAAAGATTGTGTTTAGGTCTTCTCATCAGAATAGCTGAGATTTGACCGACACCTTCTCTTCTTAACTGAAATTGAATTTCCCGCTAGATTCTCCACTTATTTCTTAGACTGGTGACAGTTTAGTGGTGCATGAAGCTGTAACATTAAAGCGACAATGAGGGTTTTCCTGACTGTACACTTTCCTCATGATTCATTCCGTATCTTGTTATGCAGAGGAGTTTTCACGCCTTTTGGCTGAGGCGTATCGGATGACACACCGGATGCATGCGTCTCATCCTCAATATTCCTGAGCTCAGGTTATCTGACATAGCCCCTACCCAACGAAAACCAAACATACACTAACACTATTTTAATGCACTAACAAGAATTTTACAGACGTCCTGTATATGCTCGAGGTGACTTTTTCAGGGCCTCTAGTACCAAATACTTTGACTTTGCCCTCTGTCATCATGATGTATCAGACCCTCTGGTTGTTTCATATGAAGTTATGCAGGTAGACAATCATTGGAGGTGATCTCTTATCTCACATGGTGCTGAAATATCTTTGACATCTCTGATCATATTGACTATGAAAATCATTTTTTAGTGCATCAAAATGAGAGAGGTGCAGGTTTGTTCTCAATCAAAGTGAAGAAGTAAATACCATTTATTGATTTGTGTCTCATTTTATTTAACATTACCGTGATCTTCATTATCAATTAATTTGCTGAGTAATCAATCATTTTTTTCATAATAATGCAAAAACAAGAGAGAAAATACTCATTTCGTCTTTTTCCTCATTGTCAGGTGATCCAAAATGCAGCTGCTTGTCTATTAGCAAACACATGCAAATGCGAGCGTATAGCCTCTGGTTTGGCCTCACTACAGGATTATTTTCAACCTATTATTATTTGTTTTTAAAGCACCGCATGGTTTGGCTGTCCGATCAACTGCCTCTAGAGGTACCTAGGTGTTGAATTAGGTGAAGTCTGTATGTATGGACCTCCTTGATCACATGCTGACCATCACTAATGAAGACATTGTATTTTTATTCAACAAATTGCCTTTTTGGGAGCACATATTCAGTGTGTGTGCATTGCCTGTTCTTGAGACTGTTTTGCTTTCAGTCACCAGACTTGAGGAAGTGTCGGGATGTGTGTCCACTACCAGGTGACTGCATGTCTGAGGAACACACAGATCTGAGCACCAGATTCCAGTTTTAACGTTTTACGTGTTCAAGCCGATGAAATATGTAAATATTTTTGATGTTCTAGTGATTTCTTTCCCCACATCGTTTATTGGCTCTAAGACGATTAGTGAGATCCTCTTTAAGCCTCTGCTCATGCTTGTCAGCCTTCACTCAAATATGCTGTGATCATCTCACTGCCTTCCCTGGCAGGGCAGCATGTTAGGAATGCTCCATAAAGTTGGTCTTCTTTCTACACCCTTTTTTTTCCTCAGCTCAGATGTTGTGTGCAACGCTCTCTCTCTCTTCTCAACCTGATCTCAGCAGGCCCCAAATAGCCATCAGAGATCAGGAATTTTCCCGGTGGTCCCAAACTGCTTAGACATTATGCAGATACTGAACAGCCCATCTTAGCTGCAGTGACAGTGCTGGTGCAGCCTTAACAGCCATGGAGAGCTGCTGCCTGCACAAAGCCGATGCAGCAAATGAAATCTGGTGAGATGGGAAAACCGTGGTTGGTGTTGCAGAAAACATAAACAGACTTGTAGGCTGACGCTAAGTGCGCAAAAGTAGCTAAGAGGCTGTAAACAATAACCCGTTGCTGCATGTGATGATTATCAAAGAGCCAGGAGCATCAGAGAGATGAGTGCACAGGGAGGATCTCTGTCGCTGACAGTCTGGTGTAGGTGTGATTACTGTAGAGCTGCTCGACCCATTGTTGTCTGGTCACTCCTAGTTAATTGGCTGCCGAGTGCAGTCAGTGCAGAAACGTTTAAAGCTGTCAGAATGTTAAAGCCAATGCTAAATGTCTGCAAAGCAAGTGCAAAAACGTACTTTGACTTTATGGGTCAAATAAACATGGAAATGTCTTCTCCCTTTTATAGAAATGAGAATGTTCTGCTAATTTCTCTCTCAGCATATTATGGAAAATTCATCAGTTATTTTTGCTGTAATAACTGATCTGCAGCCCAGCAGTAAAATGTCTGTAAAACACTGACCTTACTCTGTAAACGTAATGAAAGAGACAGAGAGGAGGAACCAGCACAGATCTCATGACAAGTTCTCTTTTAAATGCCACTTGTGTGACTGAAGCTAAGTACAGCACCATGCATCAGGGCAGATCAGGTTGGACTAGTCTTTAAAAGTTATTGTTGCATCACGCAGGATAAACTGAATGACAGGTATGTTGCATAGTACACCTCACACGTAGGCTAGTTGCATATTTTAAGGTTGGACTCTTCATTCTGAATGTAATGAATATAACATACTGTATTTGATGCTAGTCAGTCCAAACGATGCTTGTTTCATATGAGTTCGTTATAAGGTGGTGAGACATTTGACATTACTCTCAGCAATTTCACTACTGCTACGATGTGCTTTTATAACAAAATAAATACATTTCAGGCTACACTTCAAATTCACGGTTTGTTGTGGTCATTGTCTGTAGTTTACAAATGCAGACGTTGTAGCAACTCGTGATGTAGTTTAGTACGTTTGGGTCCCAGAGAGAGACCAGCTTTCTCTTTTGGGTCTCGAGCTGAAGAAGTCTGGGAACCCAGGGATTAAAATGTTGAGTGCTGAGACTGACTCAGCTGCAACACGTAGAGGGAGTGGTTTGTTATGAAAACCTTATTGCCCATAGCAACATTTTTCCTCTCATTTCAAAAAACAAATGAGAAATTCTCAGATCACAGTCAGTATAGCCGCAAACCTCAAACACAGGCGCACCTGTCTGCCAGCCACAATAACCTGGCATGCTTCCTTGTGATTAACGCAGAGTCCGTGAAGAAGAGATGCCAGTGTGTGCGTGTTCCAGTTCGACCTGAATAACAAGCAAACAGCAAAACACCGGCTGAGCCAAAGAGTGACAGCGAGGGAGCAGGGAAGTGGTGGAAATGCTCATTGTTTTAAAGTGCTAGAAAGAACTGAGTGCTGAGTTACCAGGCTGCTGGGACCAAGCTTCTTCGAAGGTCCCTCCTTCCGGTTCCTGTTATTAGCTGTTTTGATTGGTTGGGAACTTCTCATGAGGAGTGGTGAGAATGTGGCTCTGGCTCGAGTGCCAGAATCCTCAGGGCATCCATAGTTCAGAGAGGTTGAATTCTCACCAGTATACAGTAATGGTTGAGGATTAAAAAGATGCTTTCAGATAGCTTCATGGAGGACATTACTGCTGTCACACGTTTGTGCCTGTCTCCTAGCAGCTTTTATAAGTGTAATCTGTATGGTAGCTTGTTTGTTGCCCTCTTATTTTTGTGTCTATGTGCACATACGGTACAGCACTATACCTCCTCAAAAAAGCCATTGTGGATTAAAGAACAAACTAAAATGTGCAAAAACTCCAGCATGCTACTAAATTTGTAACAGCAGAGAAATCCAGGGTTGTCTATGTATGATTTTTTAACAAACTTAGGAAATGGTGTTAATCAGTGTGTCTGCAAAGTCGCT